CAACTCAACATCACGCAGATTGAAGTTATCTTGCTGGTAGACTAGGTATTATAGAATAAGTATTTTGGGTTTTATTTTCCAATGAAGTAAACTATAGGAAAATACATAATTTATGGGAGCTGTGGCCTCTGTCCTCATTCTACAGCCTGAGCCCCTCCGTCCATGGAAGCGGATCCCTCTCTCAAAGTGGGCCTCCCCACGGTTTCTCCAACTGGGTTTTTAGTTTTTCATTACCGATGCAGAAGGGTTCAAAGTCCATGCATAAATGTCGACATTCAACAATTTTTATGGACTTTATCAACATTTATGGACATTGGTCATCTGCCCCTCATGGACCAAAGGCTGCATGCGTGTTTTATCATTGCATTTCTTATGTTCAAACTTTTTTGATTCTCTGATCCGTGTTGGAAAATGTTACAGTTTTGAACCTAATGGGCGTGGGTTTGATCCCCTGCCACCCAAGTCATCTGCTACCATTGATGTCTGCTGTCGTTATATGTCCTTAACCCCACTTTGCCTGAAGCCCCTGATAAAAACACAGAGGCCGTGTCTTCGTTGACGGAGCAGAGCCATCTTCCCTCCACCTGCAGGAGAAACAGTGAGGGGCCAGTGCTATGAGGACCCAGAAATGGATTAGTAAAGGGCATGAAAATAAATGAATGAATAAAGTCCTCTGAGATGTTGTGATTTAGGGCTTTTACAAACATACATTGAATTGAGCTGATTATTAAAAGTAGCTTACATTGTGTGCCCTAGCCTTGCTCATACTCAGTGTAAGACAGAGAAGGATCTACTGAATAGTCTGCAGCAAGAAGCACACTGCATTTTTCATGGGCTCTTCATTCTGAGCACTGCAGAGCTAAAGCAAGAGCTTATGTGGCTTGCGGCTTTTCACATTCTATATAAAACAGCGAGTCAGTGATTGTGTGATTATTTCATCTGGGGATTGTTTGACATTTAGACTTATTTTGCTCGTTTTTGTGGTAAATAGAGAAAGCGGTGACCGTGCCTTATACAGCGTTAGTTTTTAAACAAGGACAATGCTGACAAGCCACTAACAATGTTGTGGAGAACAGCGGGTGAGAGCCTGCTGTGTGCAGATATTAGACTTCTCAGCTGTTTTGTACATTACAAAAGCAATGTAGGGTTACGACCATGTCCTGTACAAATCATAATGCACTTATCCGCGATGTCCTCTAGGATAATGGACTACCAAATATGTCACAAAGATATTACTGTAACATCATATATAGGCTAGAGCCATAGGGTATGTGCAAAATGGGTTCAAAGAAGGGTCACGTCTCCAGGGGAAAGGTGGTGTGGCAGCAGTAAAGAGGTAATACAATTTTCCCATTCGCGGCTTCACACCTCGCCCCAGTGTAAATGTTGATATTCGTGGCTGTTAAAAGAAGATTTAGCCGGCGTTCTAATCCAGAAAGGCTTAATATGCTAATGAAGTGTCTTTCTATTGGAACAGGCAAAGGCAATATGGCTCTATTCACGTTGCACTAGGAGTAAAGTTGTACAGGAAAATATGTCCTTGTGCAATCAAACATGAGGAGATTCACATGTGTTAGGTTGATTAGATAAAGATAAACGTTTCTAAAAGTGTATTTGTAATGTTAGAATTATTGGGAAATAATTACCCTGGTTAAGAAGTCCTTTATTCGTTCCACACTGGGGAAATTTCAGTGTTGCGTCACCAGTTACAGAACAGTAGAAAGGTTGAGCACACAGCAAAAGGTAAGTGATCAATAATTCTATACTAAAAAAGAAAAAAATCTCTAACTTTAGCATAATCTCTGACAAGCGCTAACCACCGTGTCATGAAGCGCTTGTGCTTCAGAGCAAGAAGGTCCTGGGTTTGATTCCACCTCCAGGCCAGTGTGAAGTTTGCATGTTCTCACCGTGTCTGCGTAGGTTTCCTCCGTGTGCTCCCTACCACTAAAAACATAGGTCTGGCATGTGCCTCCTGAATGGTGACCCTGCTCCTCTTTGCGTGGAGTGAGAAAAAAATGCCTTAAAAGCAACAAATTGTGACTGTGGTCTATGAAAGGTGCTTTTAAAAAAAAAAATAGAGATTACTGTGAGGCTAGCATCTACTCTGGCAATTTTTAAATCAGGGCTAAAAACTGTTCTTTTTAGCTGTGCATACGGCTGAAGGATTTTATTGATACATACTCATTTTTTTTTAATGCATTGTGGTTATTTATTTATTATTTTAATCCCGTGTGTGCTTTTAATATTTTAAGTTTTTTTTTTTTTTTTTTCATTACTTGTGATTTTATTCTGTTTTTAATGTATTTATTGATGTCTCTGATTTGTGTGATATTATGTGGGTTGTGAGGCGCTTTGAGTGGCCTTGTGTTGGAAAGGCGCCATACAAATAAAGTTGATTGATTGATTGATTACTTACTTACTTAGCAGAATAAAAATATATTCTATACAATACACAATATTCTAGTGCAAGAAATGTTATTGTTGTATGTATAAATATGTACATGTTGCAGCATGGGGCAAAGTCACTCAGTAAAGTGACAGTGACACATGTGGTTCTATATTGCACGTTCTGAAATTAGTTAAAATTATTGCACAGACGCAGGACATGTGAGGTCAGGTCATCAGTGCTCGCCAGTCCTCATTGTTCGTTGTACAGTCTGACAGCAGCAGGAAGGAAAGACTTGGTTCTTGAGGTTGTAGACAGTACACCGCCCTTATTTATTGCATCTGCTTAACTGTCTGTGTACTGTATCAAAGGTTTAATTCATTTTCATCACATTTCATTGCCCACATATGAAAGCCTCAAAGAGATGGAATTCCCTGTATTCTTCTCTCATAAGTCCAGAGAGAAACTACTTTAAAAATCACAGTCATATTTAACTATAATATAATACAGTTCTAACAGTCTGTCTGCTGCTCATATCTTGGCGCCTCTGTGCGATGGATTGAATCAGGAATGTATTGAGAAAAAGCAAAAGCAACAGATGGTGTATCGCAGCTGCCTACATCCAACTTTGCTTCATCACAGATAAAGGGCCATTGTTTTTTACCCTTTAATGGTTTCCTCAATCATTTGGTGGATCACTTTTTGTGTCACTGTATGTACTTGAAGCTTGGAACTGAAATCTATACCTCATTGGGTCATCTCCATCACTTGGTTTTAGGCACTTTTACCTTAGAATGGCAACTCAACCAATGTTTAGAGACTGATGATAAAAAAATGAAGGTTGATTTAAAAAAAAAAAAAATATATATATATATATATATATATATATACACTACATTGACCTCTTGAAGGAGTGAATATTAAAGGGTTAACAGTATTATTCTGCTTCTTCATCTTGAGAGAAAGTGTGTTGGTCACCAGCCTATTCCAAACTCCATATCATATTGCTTACGTTACAAGTGGATTTATGTTTTATGCCCTGTGCTGCTCAAATTAATTCCCCCAGGTGAGATAAAGAAAGTAGTCTGAATGTAATCAAAAAACAATGTGGCACATGCAACACAATCACAGTGTCTGGGATTCAGAAAGTAAAATTATGGACAATAGCACAATGAAACATAGGAATTTTTGTGAAATTCTTCATAATGCACCGTCTTAAATATGTGGATTATTTTGTCCAGTTAACATCTGAGACATTCCTGGCAGAATATTTTGGCTGATGGGAGGCGAAGCAGCGGGGCCCCCTGCTAGGGCTCCTCATACATTATGAGCTCGCAGCTTCTCAGCAGGCATCAAGCAGCACGTACCGCGGTGTCGCTCTATTACATCGCCGGAGGAAGGGACGTCTGAATATGGGCCAACTCAAGACGGCTCCATGTTCCACCAACTCACCCACATGGAGCCAGACCACAGGGATCAGAATCAACACTTTATTTACAATTGATTGTCAGACAAACAACTGTGCTTCAACTGAAATCCGTCTATACACACTGTTACATACAAACACATACATACATATTGAAACACACTTATTTCACAGGTATCTACATAGATCACATTGCAATGGATTTATGTAATTGTTGCTGGACGAAGATTTGATCCGATTTAGACTCTTGAATATAGTAGTAATGACTCTTGTTTATCTGTTCAAAAGCATGATGAAAGCTTATTTAAAACATGAGAATAAAGTTAGCACTTTAGAGATTTTTCATTCAGTTTCATACATTCAATCAATAATTGAAACAATTAACAATAAAATAGTAACAAAAGAAAACTCTAAATTTACAACACGAACAAAAAAACCTTTGATTACCAAAATATAAAAATAATACATTCTCTTTGAAGTAGAGTTGAACCGGTGTGTCCTCTGCGGGGCTGTGACCCACAGTCAAATACTGCCATCTTGTGGAATAAAGTTAAAACAGCAGCCTTCTAAATGACATTTCCCTGAAAGCCATTGGAAGTTGAGAGCTACACAAAGTAACAGTGACAATGTTTGCATCTAAAAACAGCTTTTTAAGAGTCATACTTCACTAGTGCCCAACTGCTATCGCTCTATTCAACTCAACGTTGTATAAATGATGCTTTTCCCACCAGTTTCAAGGCACATTAAATCCACTTTGAGAAAGTGCTGCTGCAAAAAACCTGTGATTACACCTCACCATGTAATCATTCATTCATAAAAGCACAAACATTCTCCCGCCTAATCACACGGCTCTCCAACATGGGCATAAAAACTAAAAACAGTATTTGGATATTTTAACCATTTTGAGAGGATAGCACAATGTGCCTTTCTTGAGCTTGTATAATCGAGACGTCCATGTTGTCCGAGGATACACTGATTTATTTTTTTATTGTTCTTGAAGCTTTCATAGATTGTCATTGCCAATTCATCCTATGTAAAACAGTCTGATCAACAGATGAAAAAAGATGATTTAAATGGAACTCAGGTTGAAGTGAAGTTATGAAAATGACTAGACCCTAACCCGAACGAATGCATAACAATCTCATTCAACACATTCAGATCTTCAGTCCAGACTTGTCCTCGTCTTGCTCATAAAATCGACGACACAGGGCGCTCTCGTCTTCCTGCTGGGACCTCGTATTTGAAGACGACGCTGAACAGTTTTCCTCCGAGGCGGTTGGCGAGCCACGAGTTCTTGATAACGGCCATTTTGAGGCTTTCGCAGCTGAGCATGGCGTAGTAGTTTGTGTGGATGGCTCGGCCCATGCCCTCGATGATCACCAGGTCTGTGTTGCGCTCTCGCACCACCGTGGCCAAAACTTTGTCCAAGCGGCTGCAAGACACATGAGACACTGTTGTGCTTTTGGGGAAGACACTTCACCCCATCACTTCAACGACAAGAGTGGCTCGGAGCATGGACTTTTAGGAGTTCATCTGCGACATGTTAGTGCCATGTGAACCAACTGGCCTCCGACTGGTGCTCAGAGTCAGGATTAAACGGGGCAAGGCAGAATTTCTTCTCTGACAATGTTTAGCTTTAGTGTATACAATGGAGGGATTTAATCTTTGCTCTTATATATAAATATACTGTGATTATTTATCATCTAAATAAATAAATCTTGTGTGATTGTTTCTATCTTTTTTCTTTTGTTATGCCCTTTGACTTGCCTTGTGTATGAACTGTGCTATACAAATAAACTAGCCTCGAGTTAAAGGAGACAGACAATGCATATCTAAAACTTTTTTTAAAGTCTAACCATGTTACAACATTTTGTTGTTATTAGAAAACAAACCTGGAATTGTTTTTAGATCCATCCACGCCAAAATCAGTAGCTTTGGGCACAAACAAACAACTCTGCCCTTGTGTCCAAAATCTCACTTCATCTAATAGTATGATGTCATTGCACCAATACGAGATGGTGTTCAGAACCTTTTAAGGAAGTGCTTTTGGCAATTTCTCAAGTGAAAATACTTTGTTTTTAAGTTGGAGGGCTGAGTCTGTGGCCGGTAAGTCTTCAATTTGGGAAGAAAATAGATACAAATCAACTGATGCAGGAGGGTTGAGAAATAGTGCTGAAAATCCAGGAAACTCAACATTTATATATGGACTTTATCAACATTTATGGGCATTGGTCATCTGCCCCTAATGGACAACTGGCTGGTTTTTTATCATTGCATTTCTTGTGTTTGAACGGTTTGATTCTCTGATTTCAGGCAGAAAGCATGTCTTACCCTTCCTTCTTGTTTTATCATATATTTTTCACCATAAATGACAAAGTAAATAGTCTCATTATAATTCTAACAGCCACTAGTAATAATAATAAATCATAATCATAATAATCATATAATCATAGTAAATAATTGTTGTTCTTTGCTTTCAAAAATGAGAAGAGATTTAATTCCTTCACCTCGCTCCCATCTCTCTGTGTGACTCTCAAAGTGTGTTTAAATCTCACCTTAGATCTAAGCAGGGTGAACTGGAGCCACTCTGGACCAGCAGTAACCTCTCGTCCCTCAGTCCGCCTCTGCTCACGACATCACAACCGAAATGTAACGCATTCAAGACTACCAATCAATCGTTTTTTTCTTGATAAAACTTACTGAACTATTGGATCCATGGCAGCGATCCTTTCAGTCAGAATTTGCAGCTCACTGTTGGTCACATCGTTTAAAGCTGGACTGGAGTTACTCGCCAGAACAACCTGAGGACAGTAAACAAGTGTGTGTTAGTCATTCAAATGTAGATTTGATGTAACTTTAAACGTGGGGGTACCTACCTCTGTTCCTCGAGACAGAAGCTCCCTGACAAAAGGCATCACCCCAAGTATTATGTCGACTCCACTGTTATCCACAAAAAACAAGGCACACTTATGAGGAGGGCCCTGCGAGAGAAAAACAGGGATATTAAGATTAAGTTTAACAGATACTTTGTCACAGTGGGGAAATTTTAGAGTTGCATCTCCAGTTACAGAACAGAAAGAATGAGGAGCACACAGCACAATTTAAATGATCTATACAGAAATAAAATCTATGACTTTAGCATAATAAAGAAGCAAGTCTGAAATCTCCAACTTAAGCAAAATGAAGAAGCAAGAATGAAGTAGAACATCTATGACTTTAGCATACTGAAGAAGCAAGTCTAAAATACAGTGTAATCTAGTGCAAGAAATAGAAGAAACAGAAAGGTATTATTTGATATTTGTTCTAATAATTGCACGACATGTAAGGTCAGGTCGGCAGTGTTTCGTTAGTTGTCATTGTTCATTGTACAATCTGACAGCAACAGGAAGAAAAGGAAAGACCTGCCGACCCTCATTAGTCAAGCTGAGAAAATAAGTGTAAATGCAGTAGAAACAGACCTTTAGTCTCGCGAACCACTGGTCATAACTATCCACAAGCCACGGCCGCTCTGAGGGAAGAATTCAAAGGCTGTGTGAAAAACAGTGGGTCTATAAAGAAGAAATGGAAATCAAAGACAACATGCATACCTTCAAGCTGCCGTTTCGCTTCCTCAAAGCCAAATTCAGGATCGGACTCAAGAACGCTAAAAAACACACAAAAAACAGAAAATACAAATGTATTAATGAATTAAAGAAGGCTCATTCATTGGTGGTAATAAGCCTCAGTATAAACATGTCTTGCTTGTGATAAAAGCTACCTGGAGACAGAAAACTTTGAAACTTGAACAAACATTTTCATCACGTGTGAGCTAGTGGTCATTATACAATAGTAAATGGAACGATAAATTATAACTAAAGCCGAAAGCAGCCGTCTTCCCCAGCCCGGACTCGTGGGCTTCCCGGACTCCAGACCTGGAATTATTTTTAGATCCATCCAGGCCAAATTCAGTATCTTTGGGCACAAACACACAACTTGTGTTTAAAATCTAAACAAGTCCTCTAATAATATAATGTCATTGCACCAATTCGAGATCACAATCAGAGCCTTTTAAGGCAGTGATATTAATTTGTTAATAAGTCACTGGGCTGTCTGTGGCCGGTAAGTCTAAAATATAGGAATAAAACAAAAAACAATTGCAAATCTGATGCAGAAGGGTCTAAGGACAGTGGTGATGATCCAGGAAACTATTCATTCAAGATAACTACTGTTGTGATTTAGAGCTATACAAAAATGAATTGAATTGCATTATGAGAAAATCCGGCTTAATATAAAAAAAACTTGGTTCCTATAAAAGCGCCGCTGGACATACTCAGACACAGCCTTGGCGCCCCAGTCAAACACGTTCCCGGCCAGGACCCCAGTGACCAGAGCAAACTGCCTCTCCTCCCACTGCAGCACATCCAGAGCCTTCACCGCCTTCAGGTAATATTTGAGAGCCACGTCATTCTCCCTTTGCTTGATCTGCGCAACATTGGAGAAAAGTGTAATAATGTAAAAGATTCACAGAACGACTTTGAAGACACAAGAACAACAAAGAGTCAATGCTACAGAAGAGAAGAGTGGACAGAAGTCAGACCTTAGAGTAGGGGTCAGGAAAGTTGAACTCGTTTAAGCAGTGTTCCCTCGTGTCTAACAAACTTCTGACAGTGAGGGATCCATAAGCACTAGGCGACAAAGAAGCATCTACATCAGACAGAAATACATGACAAACAAGAAGAATGGATCCAAGAAGCCAATGGTGGTGGAGGAAAAAAAATAAAAATAGCTTCAGTTCAATATCGCGATATATTACGCAATTAAATGGATACAGGAAATGTATTCATTTATATAAGGATAATATAATAATCCATCTCTTTTTCGAAGGGGTCTTTGAAATAAAGTATTGCAATGTTTTATTAAATAATTATCTGTTTCACTTTAGTGTTTTCTCAGAGTGTACTCTGGTAATTTACATTCAAGGTTTATCTTCCTCTATGACATCTGCTTTTTGTGACTCTAGTCTGTTGCATTTGAATAATGTGAGTGACGTGCTGGGAGCTCATCGTTCATGCGAGAGGTCGTACAGGATAACGTTGTTGCATTCCCTCCTAAGAGCGTTTGCTTCAGTTAATGTGCAGACCCAAATAAATGTGGCATTTGAGTTGAGTTCTATTATCCTTCATTTTTGTAAAATCTTTGAATAATATGAGGGACCTGCAATACTTTCTGTATGGAAATATTTTAAGAATTGCAATAATATTGAATTGTGGCCCAAATCTTGCAATACTATCAAATCGGAACGCATTTTTGCCAATTCCCACCTCAAAAAGCCATGAGAGGTGTCACAATAAATTTTGTTTTAAATCACACTTTCACTAAGAATACATATCTAAAGACAAGTCAAACACACAGACAGAACAGACTACTGCAGATTTAACAAAGATAATTCTACTGCTGAAGGAAAAGTCAAAGCTAAATGAACCGTTCATAAAATCAGAGATCCTTACAATGGTTGGTTGCGAAGAGTCTGAAGTTTGTGTCTGTATTTTTGTCTAAACTTCTCTGCTCTCTCCTGGGCTTCAGGTGCTTCAGGCTGACTCGCCACTGCTCTTTTCACCACCTACTCAGAGGAAAGAAGAGAAACAGGGATACAACTATAATTTAAATTGATCAAGCTTTGTGAAAGACATCATTCATATAATTATCTTTAAATTGTGCGTGCGCGCGTCAACCCCTGCTGTCTCGAGAGCCTTGGCCTGTGACTGGAGAACCACTGGCCCTCCCACCTTTCAGAAGTCCGTGACTCAGGCGCTGATTGGAGGAGCAGCGCCTGAGTCAATCCAGCTTCCCCACCTGGAGTCACTCTCCTTCTTAAGGCCACACTCCTCACCTGTTTGGGGCTGCAACCTGTGAGTGGCTAGAATGCCATTTTGTCCTCATGGTAGATGTCTGTCATTGTCACCCCTTGTGACAATGACAAGAGAGGCAGTCCTTACAGCAAGGGTGCTCACACTTTTTCAGCATGCGAGCTACTTATAAAAGGATCAAGTCAAAATGATCTACCTACTACAAAAATGCAAATCATATATTTACTTCAATTATGTATGTTTATGTACATGCAAAACCGCATGAGCCAATATAGCACAACACAACACAATTACCTATGTACATTTGTTGTCATTACCCGAGTTTACTCTGATGACTTGCACTGAATTGAATCGGCCAGGGATGCATAGTCCGGAAAATTGGTGGTAACTCGCTGACAAGTTTGTCGTGGTTTAGCTTTCCTGAGCGCGGTTGTTTGCGCATGTGCAGTCACCTAAGTGTCAGTAAACCATTACTGAGTAAAACACAGATGTCATTTGACTGTGGTGCCATGTCCATGTGCCATGCCTGTTTTTTTTTAATCCAAATATTTCCCCTCCTCCGTTTATAAAATAATTTGCATCCACACATCTGCGTTATCAATCACATTCGTAACATTCCAAACATGTGCGTCTCTTACGTCCTGTCCTGCGTTGGGGAAAAACACAGAAGTGGGCGGAGTTCTGATGCAGACGCCGGTAAATGCACTTTTACAGTCATAGAAGACACTCAGAGTAAAGAGTAAGACGTATGTTTACAAGCACTGACCCCGTCCTCAGCCCTGGTTTAGTCCTGGTTTAGTCCTGGTTTAGTCCTGGTTTGGTTGTTTTTGAGCGTGAGTCCCCGCGATCACTTTGCTGCTCTCTGATGTGGAGCGAGGATGTTCGCTGCTGCGAGCATCTCACAGCAAACAGTTTTTAAGGTAGTATGATCCATGCTTCAGTGATCAGAGGAATTTAGGGGGGTACTGTGGCGTGCGAGAACGCAAAACTCCGGTTTTCTCTGTCTACACACAAATGCATTAACGGAGTTTTCAAAAATCTCCACTTTGCCCGGAGTTTTTTGTATATATTCGTTTAGAATGTGAATTTTTTTAATTTATTTAATGCGATCCACCAATACTACCTTTGCGATCGACTGGTAGATCGCGATCGACGTATTGAGCACCCCTGCCTTACAGCTTTTATTTGGTTCGTCTTATTTTTGTTGTCTGTGAGGTCTGGTTTTTGTGACTTCGCTTTTATTGAGACAGCTTTCAGTTTAGGTGTTTAGTTTCTGTGTGTATTAATGTAAAGGTTTAGGCTAGGCTTGGTTTGGTGACGTTGAGTTCCCCCCAATGCCCTGTATTGTGTCCATTTGAATTATGTCAACTTATTTACATACAGTACAGACCAAAAGTTTGGACACACTTTCTCATTCAATGAGTGCTCTTTCTTTTCATGATTATTGACTGTAGATTCACACCAGGCTGTGTAAGGGCTATTTGACCAATAAGGAGAATGGTGGGGTGCTGGGCCAGATGACCTGGCCTCCACACTCACCGGACCTGAACCCAATCCAGATGGTTTTGGGGTGAGCTGGACCACAGAGTGACGGCAAAAGGGCCAACAAGAGCTAAGCATCTCTGGGAACTCCTTCAAGACTGTTGGAAGACCATTTCAGGTCACTACCCATTGAAGCTCATCAAGAGAATGCCAAGAGTGTGTGAAGCAGTAATCAGAGCAAAAGGTGCTACTTTGAAGAACCTAGACTATAAGACATAATTTCATTTGTTACATACTTTTTTTAGTTACGTACACTATTCCACATGAGTTAATTCATAGTTTTGATGCCTTCAGTGCGAATCTACAATTACATACATTTTCGTAGTATTGAAAATAAAGAAAACTCTTTGAATGAGAAGGTGTGTCCAAACTTTTGGTGTGTGTACCTGTTATTAAAATACTTGCTTTTCCATTTAGAAATCTGTTTTTATTGTTAGCTCCCGTACCCTAGCTGAGCTGGGAATAAAGAATAAAGGATCTCTTAATCTTAATAAGCCAGACCCCGTCTAGAGCGTCCTCAAAGCAGTAGAGCCAGTATTCCCGGGCGAGAGCGTCCTCCGTCAGGTCCATGGTGTCTGGGATGTAGGAGGAGGGGTCTTGCAGCAGCGGCAGTTTGACCAGCTGCCTCTCCAGTCGATCCATCTCCAACATGTCAAACTACAGTCAAAACACACAGGAATTATTATTTGTCTTCACTGTGGGCAAATTAATAGTTATCTCATCAAAGATTGGGAAACTAATCTAATTAAAGCCTATGAATACCACAAAGTAGAAGTAAAATAGTCACAATTAAAATCCTAATACTTGGTCAAATAGATTAGCATCAATGCAATGAAGCTCCCTCTGATGTTCTAAGCTGCTCTACTGCACTCTCAAGCCAAATACTGAAAGTGACCCATTTTCCACCAGGATGATTGTGTTTGTCAGATCCGTTTCCACTGAGATCTGTATCTGAGTAATTTCATGACTTCAAGAAGAAGGTTAAAGCCAAACTTTGGAACATCCTCCCCTGAGCAAGTTTTACATAAATCTGTAGAATTTAATGTGCCTATCTATAGGAAGCAAGAATTCCAGTTTTTATGAAAGTAAATGCCAACATTTAATTAGCTTTAATCTAATATAGGCTTTGATTAATTATTATACAACAAGAACAAGGTTTTGAATAAAGAGATGCTTTAGATATGGACAAGAAACCAGAACTGGCACCAGCCCGATGGAAACGAGGTCATGTTCAGAAGAAGAAACTGGCCCAAACCATGCACACACAACACAGTACTCACGAGAAACTGAACAGAAGTTGAGACGACAGTGAAAAAGAGAATAAAATAAAATGATAATTAAAACTGAAACGCAGATAAAGATCCAAAATGGAAATAAAATAACCTTCTGTTTAAAAGGTGTTGACTCACCGTTCCACTTCGCGACCGCTGCATCGGGTTCATGTCTGGAGAGACACTCATGAGGCCCGAGCTGCCGGCATAATTCTCACCCCAACTGTACTGATTTGGATCTAATACAGAAATACATGTGTTTACATGATGCTTTGAATTGGGGCTAACAAGTACAGTAATAGTCTCACTGTCTTCCTCTGCTCCTTTCAAAAAGGCTCCAATTGCTCCAAGGTAACCTTCATGTCTTAGGAAAAGGGCCTGAACTTCACCCTGAAGATAAGGAAAATGAGAAGATATTATTCTCAAACCAGTGTCCACTGCAGAAACAGATTCTTACCTTGGTGAAGTAGTTGATGCTGTAGGTGATGGTGTGCATCGTCACTGGGTGTCCTCTGATGAAGAAACCGCCAAAGTATACTCGAGATAAGTTGTGGAGTTTTGCATAGAGACAGGCAAGTTGCCCAATGTCATTGCTTATCATATGCAGTAAACTCTTGGCCATGTCCCCTTGAGAAAACTCTTAAAAATAGAATAATATACAAAATATAATAATATATATTATATAATATTATATATTATATATATATATATATATATATATATATATATAATATAATAATAATAAGTATTTAATCACTTTTACTGAATAAATGTACAGTGTCCTTTATCCTCATAGCACAAGTTAAAAACAACAGGTGAAATTGAACTAAAATAAGAAAATATATTGCAAGTGTGTTTTAATTAGTATGACTGAAGTCTGTATAGTAAATAGTAGTCTGGATTACAATTTACCCTTAGTATAGAAATGATTCTAAATGATTGAATAAATGAAAGCTACCTTTATCAGCAGTTGCAGACTTTCCAAAGCTACTTGCAATGAGGTCTCCTGTTAATCCCAAGGAACCGTATGATCCTCCATAGATGTCTTTCACGAGCATATCTACATTTGTATGTTGCCCCTTTGAGGCCAGTTGCAGCAATTCATCAAACCTCTGCAAAAAACAAAAAAAGACATGAAAAAAATGCTAGACAAAAGCATTGTGTATTCTAAAAAATCCTGAGTAAATACCTTGGTTTTGGTTAATAATGCTCCTAGTCCCCAGAAAGTTCCTCCACCGATTGAACTTCCTCCAATTCGCTCAAATTTGTCCTCTGACTCAACCTTTGACAAATGACATAATATGGGTTGTCATTGGGGCTGCAAATTAGCAAAAATGTGACGATTCGATAGTATTGCAATATTTGGGCCACAATTCAATATTATTATGAGTTTCTTAACATATTGCGATACGACGAGTATTAACTTATATAAACTTAATATTTATTATGGTCTGCACATTAATTCATGTTTTATTTGGACATTGATGAGAAAAACAAAACAAAAGCAATGTAATTATACATTGATTATGCGAAATAAATAAAGAATCAATGTCCAAAATAAGAGTGGGAAGAAGTTAAAAAAACGAATCCCACCGCTACTTACAACTCTGATTTTACAAAATAAATAATACCTTCTTTTACAATTTGCAACCTAGCGCTTGGAAGTCTTTAACATGCTTCGCGAACATGTTTATCAAAAATAATGACTTTGTATCTTTTTTTAAACTCGAATATTGTTTGACATTTATGTTCCTCGTGCAATCTATTCCATTTTTTTACTCCACTAATGGTAACAGAAAAAGCCCATTAAAAGTGATTTTTTTTTTTTATTCTTGAACATTCAGGACAAAGGAGAAGACATTATTCTCTGAATAGACGACTCTCACATGAACGTGAGCTCTCAGCACTTACATTATTCACATACAACAGACTAGAGTCACAAAGAGCAGACATCAGAGGGATATAAACCTCAGATGTAAATTACCAGAGTAAACACAAAAGTAAAAACAGGTAATTATTTAAAATATTGTAATACTTTGCTCAACTGTTTGTTCGCGCAAAATAACACTATTTGTCATCTATTGGATTAGTATCTGTAGTATCAATCTCAGAAAAGAAATTAAACGTGCAGATTCACTTCTAAAACAATTGTAGTTTGATGCTGTTTATATAAAAGATGTCACCATCAGAAAATGTATCAAAAGTATGTGTTGGGCAATAAGCACAATTTGTAAATAAATATTATATTAATAAAGGTTTTCCTACATTACCTTGACTATGGACACACCAGAACCAATGTTGACCAGCAGGTAGGGGAAGATGTCTGGGTGAGTATTCTGGAACCTAAACTCCGAGTCGGCGTGCTTGGTGTAAACAAAAGCTTCGTGGGGAATATTTCTTAGGACAAAGTTACAGCCCTTTATAAGACAAGTCATTTCATCTTCTTTATCCACTCTGCAACAAAGGAACATCAAAGATTGGCTTGGAGCTGATGCAAATGTATTATGTAAAATATGTATATAAAACAATATATCTTACTTGAGTCCCAGTTTCTTCTCAATTAATTCTTTGAACTTGTGTGCCCCTCCACCTGTAGCTTTTATAACTTTGGTGTCTGTGTTGACCAAGTGATCTTTGATGAAGTCCAAACAGGTTTCGATGTATGCATTTTCAAACTTTATGAAATGCAGTCTTGCAGTGACTTCTTCCTGTACAGCTATGTCATAAAGTCGGTCTCCATGTTCCTCCAGAGAGAAAAAGCAAAGACATAAGCTTATATACACTGTAGAAACCCTGTCATAACAGTTGGACTCCCAGAATTCTCAAACTACTTTGAACACGAAAATTCAAATCTATGGGATTCTGAAACAATCTCAAAGTTAGTTTTCCACCAATTGTATTAAAAGTAAGTAATTTATAAGATTTTAGTCACTGTCATTATGTACGACTCATTTCAGGACCGTCTAGGACCAGTCCGTGACCAGCAGCTTGAGAACAGGAGGTTTTAACTGCAATATAAATTAAATACAAGACTCTTTTTTGTATCATAAGATAATTTCATAAAATCAATGACAGAGTGATAGAGTACTTAGGGAAACAGAAAATTGTACATAGTTGAGAAGACCAAAAAGAGTACATACGCTGAGTAATTGCACTTCCAAAACTAAAAGCCGTCAAATTGAACGCTCTGTGAGTTCTAATGTTAATATTCTGTTTGTACTTAGCAACACAGAAGGATTGGATATGGGGGTGGGCCCGTGTAGGGGAGCTTGTTTTTGTTTCTCTCATCTTGCCTCCCATTACCGTGAGTGGAGATTTTGTTTTAAATGACACATGTCACAAATGTCTTACCTTTGCGGTATGATCAAACGATCGTACTTTGGCCACTTTATGCTGAACTGTTGAGTAATACGCTAGTTTTGTAAGGGATCCACCTGAAGAAAATAAAGTACAAACATATGAGTTTATTTAAATGTAACAAGGCATTTCCATTATTCCTCTTGATTCGAAATAGTAGCTTAATCAACAATCCGCCAGAGTAAAGTGACCAGGTAAACATAATCGAGGGAGATTGAACTTTGGCTTTAAAGTGCCCTGTTGTTGTTGCACTGGAGCACAATAACATTAGCCAACTTCAATGCACATCAGGTCAACAAACATGTTTTTCTACCTATGTCAATCGCGAAGCGTTTAGCGTTCTCCAAATTGCGAAAGATCTCGTCCGGAGGTAAAGTGATGCTTTTGTCCATAGTGTGTGCAGCATGAGCAGTGACACTGTCCACCCGAGCGCCTTCCGCCATGACACCTGCACGTGCCCCCGCTCCGCTCAACGACCAATCAGCACGCGCGCTGCAGACACATGACGAGAGCATAGACTGTATATTTTAAAGAGTGAAAGTGGCTCAACCATAGAGGCTCAACAGGGAAGTGCTATTGGACGAAGTTTGGCTACAACTCTCTATGCCATGGCGACAGTGACTTATCCTTGACCAAGTTTATAATCTTAGACTCAGGGTCATTACTTAACCCTAACCTATTTGTATAATCTATTATGATAGTATTATCTAAATGATAGTGTCTAGTGTCTTTCTACTTTACTTTGCTGTAATGTTCAAAACTATGACGTTGACATTTCCACCGAGGGACAAATAAAGGTTTAGCTTATCTTATCGAGCTATTGCCCTGTGTTTTGTTTCTAATTAAGGGTCCGCTACCACGTTTGTTATTATCTAAAGTATCTCATCCATCGCTATGTATGTGTTTATGTATTGCAGCCTCTAGAGGGCGCTGCTTCATTAACTATTGACCTTGTTGCTGTGTACATCATGGTGCCTGAGGGTCAGGGCCACTTGGTCACACCTGTCGGCGGCTCTCAACACCATAGTCTGTGGGCTGCTCTCAGCAGCTTAGTCTATGGTTCTGGCATGAACAAAACAAAAACATTTCACCAACTATTGCCTTCGAGCATCAGCTCGATCCATCTATAATCTGTGTTTCTCTGGCAGAAGATGAGGTTGTCCCAAGGGTCTGTCAAGCAGCCAATTGTCACCACATTCTTCATTGTAATTTCGATATAAAACATTCTGTATTCCAGGTGTAGTAATATAAACAGTGAATACTATCAGTTTTGTTAAAGTTGCATGTGTCTTCAGAAATACTTCTTCTGGATTTCACACAGTCTATAAAGTTCCATTTTAAATATACAACTCTAGACATCCTCTGCGTGACAGTATGGCCCGTCAGAGGAGTATCACTGCACTGCAAATGGAATGTTTAAGCGATCCTTTGTTCTGTAGAAAAAAATGACAGAGGCAGCAGCGGTCGCAGTTGTAACCCAGTTTATTCCAGAGTCCTTCCAGATCGAACAAAAGAAGGCACAGCCTCTTTATATGATGTGTAGCAATGTGCATCAGAAAGATGTCAAAGCAGAGGCGCTAGCGGCTAGACCATCCTTGAGTTATTAATACTGAGATCGAATAAAGGAATATCTTATCTTATGTTCTTAAATTCATTGAATATTATTCCTTGAACATTTTTCATGTTTGTCCTAGCAAAGTCTAAACATGCAGGTCAGATTCCACAGTTCCTTTGGCTGTCAGACTACAACAGACCTGTATGAGTTCAAAATAGTACGTTTGAAAGTAAGTTAGAAATGTTAGTTTGTGAAATTGTGAGGTTTCATAAGACTTTTAAGCAACTTTTGTAAAGGTTAAACTCATCATTCTATCAATGTGCAGAAGCCTGTACTTTTCCACTTCATGTTTTGACTATCTCTGCTGGCACCGTGGAAGCTGCTGATTGGAGGTCTCCATGCCTCCGCTCTGTATAATACACTTGCATTCTGTTGTATCTGTTGTTCGTGCTGTCTCTACCATTGACAATATCTTCTGTCTGAATTAAAGACGCAATGCCAGACTTTGTCATCCTCTTCAGGTGGTGGAAGGATGCGGGCCTTGTCTGTAACATCCAGAGAACAGAAGACTTTTTTACACAAAAAAGTGTTTTTTTTTTTCAAGCCAAAACTGAGAAACCTCAAGAGAATGCATCTGGATCAGCACATGGACAATCTGCACAGCCCCTGATTCCAGTCAGGCTGTGAGCTGCTGAGACATGGACAACACCAGCGTCCTCTTTTGCATGGACATCATTTGGAACAATTGGATTTCTGAATTTGGACATAATTTGGACTGAATTGAATTGCTGAATCTGGACACTAAAGCTGAAACGTGTGATTGAAAGACACGTCACAGAAGAATTCATGGCTCGACACAAATGCAGCCTGAAGGAATCAACACGGAGAAGTGAGAGAGACTGTTTTCAAAGCAATATCTGGAACCACCATCGACTGATGAAGTTTGGTATTTTACTGAAGATTGTTGACAAGTTTTATGAAAGATCTGAACATGTTTTATGAGTTTTATGAGTTTTTGAAGTATTCCGAGTTCTGAGTTTTTTGAAGTACCGAGTGAAGTACCGAGTTTATGAGTTTTTGAAGTATTGAGTTATGATGTTATGTTGCTGTTTATCGATCCTGATGGTCACACGAGAATGTGTGACCAGAGGGGGGAATGTGAGATTTCATAACACTTTTAAGAAACTTTTGTTATAGTTAAACTCATCATTCTATCAATGTGCAGAAGCCTGTACTTTTCCACTTCATGTTTTGACTATCTCTGCTGGCACCGTGGAAGCTGCTGATTGGAGGTCTCCATGCCTCCGCTCTGTATAATACACTTGCATTCTGTTGTTCGTGCTGTCTCTACCATCGACAATAAAACATGTCTTCTGTCTGAATTAAAGACGCGATCCCAGACTATGTCATCTTCTTCAAAATGTTTATAATTGATGTACTTATATGGATGTGTTTTCTGCTACTGGACACCTGAATTTCTCCTATGGGGATCAATAAAGATTAAGAAATCCTTTATTTATCCCACAGAGTAACAGGAAGTCACAGACTTCCTGTTACTTACGTGGCAATAAAAATGATTCTGATTCTGATTCTGATTCTGAAAGTATCTATCTATCCATCTGTCTATCTATCTATCTATCTATCTATCTATCTATCTATCTATCTATCATATTTTGTTTATATTTCTATTTTGATGTTGTTTTGTTGTTGTTCTTTGTTCTTGTGCAGAGACCTCAGAACTGGATTAAAGTGATTGTACTGTACTTCCTGGTTGTAGTCAGAATTCAAGCTGCAGGGTTTTGAAAATACTGCAGCTGTTTCACATATACACTTTTGAGATTTTCCATGTGTATATAAATGACGTTTATATTCACATGACGTTTCTCGAATGCAAGATATAGGAAGTCTACGTGAAGTGTGTCAATCCCCCTTGAGACTGATCAGGAGCCGGTGGATCAGGGAGGTCAATCTGTGATCCGGGACTGTGCTCTGCTCTGCTTTCCCACACTCTGCCCATTGATGGCGAGTCTTGAACAATAGACTTGTGCCTTGTCAGATGCTAATGATCTCTCCACACACATGCTCTGGTCCCCTGGGGCCTGGGTCTTGTTGTTTAGACATTCAATGCAGCATCTTTAAAGTTTAAAAAATGCTATGGCCGAAAGTTTTCCTCCTTGTCTAAACATGAGGAGGCAACATTTCAGATTTATGGAGTTAAATACTGGAATATTCTTGTCAGGATCAAAAACATGGTGTCCAACGCAGATAAGAGATACTTGGAGATTCTTATCAATGCTTTAGTCTCCAGTAGTTTAGAGTAACAGCTGCTCACAGGTCTCTCTAAACAAGTTGTAAAATAGCTGCAGTGTTTTGAAAATACTGCAGCTTGGGTCCTGACTAGAACCAGGAAGTACAATCACATCAGTCCGTTCTCAGATCTCAACACTGGTCTCCTCCTGGTGCCCAGAGTCAGAACTAAACATGGCGAACCTGGAACAATCTTCTCTGAGAAAGTTTAAATCCAGGTTAAAAAACACTTCTGTTTAGCTGTGCATACAACTGAGGCACGGTGATTATTTATGTATTTAGTTAAAAAAAATTTATTGTAATGCCTTGTTCAGCATTTTGAGTTCCCTTCTGTATGAGTACATGTGTACAAATGAGTCTGTCTGAATACTGACTGAATCGAATACTGAATACAATAAATTGAATTGAATACATCAATTCAATTTAGTCTTGTACAGCCCTAACTCACAGCACTAGTTATCTCGGAGGACTTTACAAAACCGTTGAAATTGCCAACACAGATCAAAGAATGAAACCGTTCTAACACACAGAGCCATGTAAGTAATTGAGTGACACACGATAACTTATAAGATTAATTAAGAGATCCTTTATTTGTCCCACAGTGGGGAAATTTCAGTGTTGCATCACCAGTTACAGAACAGTAGGAATGAGGAGCAGACAGCACAAGATAAATTTAAAATAACTAGCACCTCTCACTTTAGCATAACAAAGAAACAAGTATGAAATAACCAATATACAGTATATATTTATCATAATTTTTTACCATTGTCCAACGACACACATCATATTTACATACCAATTATTAGTATGTGCTTCTTCTGTACTTGACCAAATAAATATCTTAAACATAGATAATCCAGATGATGGGTGAGGAACCTTCCTTTGTCTTAAATATAGTTTTGTGGGAATCCTGTCAGACACATCTATTAGTCTCTATTGTTCTGCTGTGTGATTGGGGTTCCCCTGCTTTCCCACACTCAGTCCTTTCAAGGCGGACCTGGACAAAAGAAGTGTGTCTGGGAGCAACACATTAATTATGGAATCAGTGATGGTGAATTTAGTCCCACCGGTCGCTCAATGGACATTCCTGCCGTCGTCAGACTCATCAGCGAAAGGCTTTTGTGGTGAAGCAGGAGGAATGCAGACGGGGAGACCATTAAATCGTTCACTGGATACTAGCTTGGAGAATCTGCGCGTTCTTCACGGGTTATTGAGGGGGCAGATTCACACACTTGCAATTAAAAGTATAGCGAACGAAGCTACTCTTAAGTGAAAATGTTTTTAAAAGTCTTGGCATGGTATAAGCACTGCTAACATGTACAGATGTATACACACAACTTTCAACACATTTTTCATTTTTATGGTAAAGCTGGAGATTTTATATTTGCTTCTTTTGCTAAAGTTAGAGACTTTACACTCGCTTCTTTATTATGCTAAAGTTAGAGTTTTTATTCTATCTTATTTTAGTATTGAGTTAATTCATGTTCATTTATATTTTGCTGTGTGCTCCTCATTCCTACCATTCTGTAAATGGTGATGCAACACTGAACCTTTCCCACTGTGGGAGGATTAAAGGATTTCTTAATCTTAAAGGTACTCTAACAAATGTGACCTTATTAAGAATATTTACCTCCACCATGTTTTTGAGTGGTTGTCAAAGGCTTAGAATTTTACTTATAAATGTCCATGAGAGCTGGAGGACTCTACATGTCAATGCGCCATCTTGAAATACAGTTGTTCATTAGGGACAAAAAGGAGTTTGACCGGGAGTTGGAGACCACTGTCAAAGACGGCATATTGTCCGTGAAGCAACAGTGTTATTGTTGATTACAATATATATTCTCAGTGCTAGATGGGAGTAAAAACTACACAGTGAGTTTACCTTTAAAACTGAGTACCACACTTTGTGCAGATTGAGCATCCCAAGTATTGTGAAATAATCAAATTATTAAAATCAAATTTTAAATTGTTATTCAAATTGCTTTTTAGAATCTTATTTTTGTATGCCTGCATGTAAATTTGATTCAACTTCTTTGGTTTTAAAAAATAAAAATCTTTTATAGTTTTAAGTTACGGTCAGCTTTGAGCTTTGATCTGACAAGACTTTTGATAATTATTTGAGTTTTAGCCAAATGCATTATACTATTAGGTCAACCACATAACAACATTTGCAACAAAATGTTTGAGAATGTCTGCAGATGACCTAAAAAAACAACATGAATCTAGCTTACGGCAATTTTTATTTGTTTTTTTCAACTAAACCAACGTCATTTTGGTCAACAAAAATATTCAAATCAATTCCTTTACATTTATTGTTTGTATAGCCCTAAATGACAACAGTAGTTATCTTTAGAGTTTAGTTATATCTTTACAAAACACAGATCAGAATCAAACCGTTCAAACACAAGAAATGCAATGATGAAAACACATAGAGCCATTGGTCCATAAGGGGCAGACGACCAATGTCCTGAACCATCACTGTCCTTAGACCCTTTTGTATCAGCAAGGAACAACTCTAAAATCTAGAAGTGAGAAATTGATAAAAATGGCTAAAGATCCACTTTAAGCCATTGTTTTGCACTTTCTTAATAATTATAATTTGTTTCTAAATCCTTATCATAATTTTTCATTGCATATCTCTTGAAAATAAATGCATCAAGAAGTTCAGAATAGGTTTTAACTATTACTTTCCTTTTTCAGTCTTTAGTCGGCGGCGATGAGTGTAAATCAATGATCAAACTCAGGGTCAGCAATTTCCCAGATTCACACAGAGTCTGTAAGGCTCCAGTCCTCCACCTGCTCCCCTGAGACCCACCATTATCCCCCAGGCCGTCACTCTATTCATTAAACTGCATCCTCTATTGTGTCTCTCTGCTCTCTGATTGGTCCAGAGTGTGAGAAACTAGTGCTAGACCTAGACCCACACATTCAAATGGAGATGTGTGTGTATAAATACAAGGCAGAAGCAGCACACAGCAGACTCTCCACACAGAGCTCTACATCCACACATGGCTCCTACAGCCACTGCAGCAATGGACCCCTCTCAGGACCTCAGCCTCTGTCACAAGGTAAAGCCTGTTCCATTCTTCTCCTGACGCTTTGATGGTTCCTCTGCTGCTATTGCAGTGGTGTGTGTAGAACAAATGAACTCATGTGCCTCTTGTTTTTGCAGCTGAGAAAGCCTGTGGTGGAGAAACTGCGCAGAGAGAGGATCAACAGCAGCATTGAGCAGCTCAAGTCTCTCCTGTGTACAGAGTTCCTCCAGCAGCAGTCAGACTCCAAGCTGGAGAAAGCAGACATCCTGGAGATGACCGTCACTGTGCTCACACGTCTGCAGCAGCCGAAGGGACCTTTGGGTCAGGGCTTCTCCAGATGTGCACGGAAGTTGGTGCACGTTGTGTCCAAGGAGCAGGTCCAGAGCAGGTCTCCCAGTCCTGTGTTTCTGTCCTCAGCCCAGAGCACTGTCCACAGCAGCAAAGAGGAGCCTGAGGACAACAACGCCCTCTGGAGGCCATGGTAGAGCTTGGATAATGAACATATTACATTGGATCCTCAGACCATATTGGTCTACATTGGAATGGACCATGTCTGTTACTTACTTTTCTTGATTTTGTTTGTGAGCATCTCTTGTAAAGATGCATCTGCAGTCTTGTTTTTCACCTGTTATAGAGGTTATTGTTTGTAATATTTACAAAACCTAGAAGGGTCTTGTGTTTTAACAACCTGAAAATGTATTTTTTCTTTATTGGAATATTTAGTTTACTATGTTTACCTCTCGCTTTAGAGAAGTTTGTTTTCATTGTGAGAATTTTCTGGACACTTGTGTGTCCGTTATAAAATGTACTGTGTACAGTGTCTGTGTTTTAACAGGCTCTTTGATGTGAGACTCTGTGCCGTTATGACTCTGAGAGTCGCACTCATACCTTCTGTGAAGGGTCGACTGGTGGAACACATGAATGAATGTATCTCTTCAAGCCAAGTGATGTGCATTAAAACAATCACAAAAAACAACACACAACTGTCTTGTCATTCTCTGTTCAGTGTGAAGGGCAAGCTTTTGAAAATGAGCAAGAGCTGTACATTGAGAAAAAGTACAGTAGACTCTCCAGCGTGTGGATGAGTTCCAGGGTTTCCTCTGGAAACAGGGGAGTCCACAGAGGAGGGCAGTGAGCCTCTTTGGCTTCTAAAGGGCTCTATTTAGATTGCAAGGCTCATCATCCTGAGTCCATCATCCCCAATGTGGAATATGGGCTTGTTTTTTCTTCAGCAAGTACAAGGATGATGGATGAACAATAATTCTCGAAGCAAACCTCACTTGGTGTTTTCTGGTGGTGAAATTTCATGACTGTGTCACACAGAGATTCATGCCAGAGATCCACGTGTCTGTGACACCACGTCCTGGGGCAGAGTGTAGATCCATTTGGTATATATGTTTTATCCCACAGTGGCATGTTTTTACTTTGTCTATTTTCTCTTCAGCGTCTGTGATAACTGGAGAAAATGCAGGGCCAGCAATACGGTTGGACTGAATAAGTCGAAGTATAATAAGTATAGGCATAAGCCACATCTGTAATCTACCTTTCTATTGTATGTGTGTTTGACAATGGATGTTGTTGACACCACATCTTGGGATAGAGTGTAGATCCATTTGGTCTGGACTTAATTTCAAACATTGTTATTTGTTATAAATCAATATAATGTTCACATAGAGAGGGCCAGCAACACCTCAGATCATCCTAAAATGTTGATAGGATTTTCCTACCATTGCAATCCACCAAGACACCAAACTCGAGCTAGTAGTTTTCGGGCAACCTTGCCATACAGACAAACATCCACCAAAGCTTACAATGCTCTTCCTGTCGGCGGGTAATACATGCATAATAATGAGCCACGAGTGTCTAAAGCAGACAGAAGTTTAGGTGGGTCTGTGGTTTTGTCACTATAGTTCTGCTCTGTGCCCACAGAGGCTGATAGACAAGTCTCAGAGACTTTCTTCCAGCTGCAATTTGTACCTGTATACATGACTGACTTCACATGGCTAAGGTAGATGTCATATCTGTCGACAGTCGACACATTGTAGGAATTCAGCTTTTGAGCAGTAAAATATCTCATGATAACTTACAAGTGTACAGCACGTGTAGCGGACCCCTTTGGAAAGGTTTGTTGAATATGATAGATATTGGAGAAAGAAAAACAAGTCGTTCAAAACGTCTAAAAGTTCAAGCAGCAGACATTAGACAGCACATTTATTAAATTATTTTATTAATTAGAAGATTCAGAATCAATCTCCCAAGAAATATAGAGTCTTAGAAATTCCCTTTGCAAAATAAAGGTTTTTTGTATACCACACCCTTTACAGGGTAAAAACAAAACACAAGATGAGTTTAACATCGGACTCAAACTCATTAGTTTAACATAAATTAAATCACATGCTGTGGTTCACAAATGACCACATATAAACTTTGTCATCAGCAAAGTGGGAAAAAATATATCTTTTGTTTGACTATGCTTGTATTGTATATACAGTGTGCCACAAGGTCTGGCCTTGTCCAAGACATGTCCATTTGAGTCCTTTTTGGTTTCTATAGAAGCAGAGGGCAGACGTCCTCCTCTGCGTCAGGAAAGAGCTGTAAAATGTCCCGTGAATATTTGCTGTAGCCGTTGTGCATCAACAGGGTTTTCTTCAGTGTGAGTAAAGACAGTGTCTTGTCCATCAGCTCTGAGAGAGAGATCCCGCCTCGAGCGTGTTGTTCCAGCAGAGCCCTCAGTCGGTCTAGTTTACCGCTGCATTTCTTCTCCAATGTATCGAGCTTGCACCTGAAATAAACATTTCAAAGGTTACTTCATATGAACAAATAAATATAGTTTGTCATATATTTTGTGATTTCTATTGGCTTGGATTTGAGAGAGTAAGTAAGTAAATAATATGTATATATGTATATATAGCACCTATCACAGACCAGAGTCACAATGAGCTTTACAATTTGTCTCTCCCTCAACACAGAGATGGGGTCGCCTACACAGAGCATGCCAGATCTATTGCTTATGTTTTTAGCAGTAGGGGAAACCAGAGCACCCAGAGAAAACCTAAACAGACATAGGGAGAACATGCAAGTTCCACGCTGAAAGGCCTGGAGGTGGAGTCAAACCCAGGACATTCTTTCTGTGAAACACAAGCCCTAACCACTGCACCACCATGACGCTTAATTGAATAATGCTGAAAATCCTGCCTGTATTTGACAATTTTAACTAATACATAAATCATATGCCAAAGCTTACCGAAAGAGCTGTTCCTTGATGGAATCCTGGAGATCCATGTCTGAGTATTGCACCATGATGCTGCTTCTGTTGCTGCTGCTGCTTCTGTTGCTGCTGCTTGTATCGAGAGGTTTGCGAATGTGGCTCTGGCTCAAACCCTCGATATTTAAGCAGCTCATCCTCATACTTCTGTCACCAGCTCAGCCAATCACAGAGCAGCCTGGGCAGGACAATGGAGTGAATGGTGTGTGTCCGCTGAACAGGTGGAACCCTCCGAGGTTGGTGGGAAAGTGGCCGACCTCAAGTGCACATGGAATATTAATGTACTTGGATATTTATCACAGAACTGCAACGCTCATATTTATCAAGTTGATATTATATTTGATATTAAGGATGTAAGATTGTGGGCCATAATTTTCAATCTTGTTTTTTAGCTGTATCTACAAACACCACATTTATTACATGTAGAGATAGATAGCTTGATAGATAGACAGATAGATTGATAGATTGATAGATAGATAGATAGATAGATAGATAGATAGATAGATAGATAGATAGATAGATAGACAGATAGATAGACAGATAGATAGATAGATAGATAGAGCAGTAGAAACATATCCATTCATACAAACAAATAATTACATATAGTGTCTGTGTGAGTCTTGTGTAATATCTACGTCTTCATCTCAAGATATTCATAAATCAATCCAAACCAAGGAACCAAAAACAAGTATGTAAATATATGTAGAATGTAGAATATGCAGATCTGGTTAAGATACTTCTACAATTTTGCCACATATGCGCTGCAGAGGATTCCCTGCAGTGGCAGATGGGAGGCCTCTGAGAGCGGACACACTTCTATTGTATTGAAGACTGTGGGAAACAGCTCCCAGCACTGATGCCACAGGGCGTGTGCAGCCGCAGATAATGTGAAGAGGTTCCAAGTTGAATACCCGAAAAATGAGTAATAGGGCATAATTTGCATATTTTAGATTGTGAGTATTTTTGTGTTTGGTCTCCATGCAAAAGAAACTCAAAAAAAACCAAAATGATACTAATCAAGTGTCAAATTAAATTAAATTAAATGTATTCTTGTATAGCTCTAAATCACAACAGTAAGTATATCTGAAGAGTAACCCACAAAGCCGTCGATTTTCCGACACAGATCAAAGAATCAAATCAAATCACACACAAAAACACATTGAGCCATTGGTCCATAAGCGGCAGAAGACGTCCATTAATGTCCATAAAATACAACTTACAATGTGAAACTAATAGATAACAGACTCATTATTCTCAAAGTGACATCAATCAAGCTTTAAAAATGTTGATAATTGGCTCACAGAAAACACCCAAATACAAGACTTCAGAAAATAAGAATAATTTGAAATGGAATTGAAGTCATCGAAATGAAAGTGATGCATGAAATAATAATAATGTCACTTTGAGTCTATATCATAAAATGGTTTGATATTTTAAGATGAATTAAAGACCTCTTGAACTTTTGAATGATCATCTAATTTTCTGACTTTCACCTGTTTAGTCATACATGTTAATGTTCAAAAGTAACAACAAAATTATTTACTTATTTCAACTAAAGTCCTCAATCAAAGTTATTTGTAATTTTTTGTTTGTTTAAGTGGACACTGCGACTGGCCACTGTGAGTTTATTGAGACTGACGGTCACTGAACGCTTGTATGGGCCTTGGATTCTTTTACCTCTTTAAATCATTGTTTTCCCGTTTGGAAAATAAAACCTGCAAAAACAAAAACCATTGGGAATTTAACTAATAAATATTCGTAAAGGAGAAACTACAAAATCTAAGGATGAAAATGGCACTCAAAGCATAAAAAATATCTAATAATCTGGATTTTTCAACACCGGTCTGAAATGGGATTTGCTACAACTTTACAAAGAAAAAGATTTGTCTAAGTAAGTACTTTTCAATTATTTTAGGCAATTTAAGACCATAGACAAAGATACTATCACCTTAGGTGTATTTGCCTAATGCAGCACACTTCTTTTGTTGAAGCAATGAAAAGCAAAGTGTGGGAAACCAGAGAAGACACACTCACAGCCGCAGAGGGACAATAGATGAAGACCTCTGACCTGAACACACGGGAATCATGGGACATTTCCCACTTCTCTCTCCTTCATTTTTACACAACGCCCAAACTTGTGTTGCGAATGAAGAAGCAGAATGCAAAACATTGTGTTTGAGTGAGTGACTGTACATGTCATACTTATGTCTCACTCAGCATGTGAGTGGCCCCACCCACAGCAGAGGGCACACTCTAGACCTGTTAGTTACAAAGGGGGTGAATATTTCAAATATAAGCGTGGTCGATGTTGCTCTTTCAGATCATTTCTGTGTATTTTTTGACATGTGTTTCACTAACAAACCACCAGTGGACTCTGCAACTGTTCGAAGAAGACACATAAATGAAAATACAAGTGAACTATTTATGGGAATGATAAACTTTGAAAATGCATCGTATTCTACTGTAGATGAACTGTTTAACTCTGTCACCTCTAGTGTTTTGAATGTTCTGGATACCGTTGCCCCTGTGAAGGTTAAAATAGTGAAAAATAAGCAGAAGGCGCCGTGGGCTAAAGCAGACTCGGTCAGGGCACAAAAGAGAAAGTGCCGGAGGGCCGAGCGGAAGTGGCGCAAGTCCAACCTCCAGGTTGATTACAAGATCTTCAAAGATAAGTTGTGCGAGTTTAACCGGGTGCTACGTAGTACGAGAGAAAGGTATTTTTTTCTGAAATGATTGAAGGCTGCAGTAACAATCTGCGTGTTCTGTTTTCAACAGTTAATAGATTAACAAACCCCCCTGTTCAGATGCCATTAGAGCTAACTTCCAAACGTAAATGCAATGAGTTTGCACACTTTTTCAATGACAAGGTTCAAGGCATCAAAAACGCCATTGTCTCCAATCCACAGATAACCATCCAACAGCCAGAAAGGCTCTCTGAGCTAACTTACTTTGCACCTGTAGATGATAAAAATGTCCAAGAAATAATCTCCAGTTTGAGCTCCTCCACATGCAGCCTGGATGTACTACCCACTAGATTTCTGAAGTCTGTTCTGAGCAGTCTGTTACCGTCACTCACACAGATAGTAAACATGTCCCTTCATTCTGGAATATTCCCAAAGGCCCTGAAAACTGCAGTCATCAGGCCCCTGCTAAAAAAGAGCAGCCTGGATGCTACGGTACTTAACAACTATCGTCCCATCTCAAATCTGCCATTTATGGGGAAAGTCCTTGAAAAAGTTGTCTACCTACAGCTTACTAGATTTCTTATAATTAACAACTCATTTGATATGTTTCAGTCCGGCTTTAGACCCCACCACAGCACTGAGACTGCTCTTGTCAAGGTTACAAACGATATCCGGCTGAACACTGACGCAGGCAAAGTCTCAATCTTAATCTTGTTAGATCTGAGTGCTGCCTTTGACACCGTCGACCATGAGATCCTCTTACAGAGATTAGAGGACTGGGTTGGAGTCGCTGGCACCGCCCTAAGTGGGTTTAGGTCTTACCTTGAAGACAGGAAGTACTTTGTGGAGATTGGAGACTGTGTCTCAGATCATATGGCCCTGACCTGTGGAGTACCACAGGGGTCGATCCTGGGACCTCTTCTGTTCAATCTCTACATGCTGCCGTTAGGTCAGTTAATACGCAGAAACAAAGTGTCCTATCATAACTATGCAGACGACACTCAGATCTATGTCTCACTGACTGCAGGAGAACATGGACCAGTGGACTCACTCCTTCACTGTATCCAACAGATCAGTGAGTGGATGCAAAACAACTTCCTTCAGCTAAACGCAGACAAAACTGAAATGATTGTCTTTGGTCCCCAGAAACAAAGAGAGAGCGTCATCTGTCACCTACAGTCTCTTTCCCTAAAACCTTCAAACAAGGTCAGAAATCTAGGGGTAATACTGGACTCAGACTTAAATTTTAATAGCCACATCAAATCAGTAACATCAGCAGCTTTTTACCATCTAAAAAACATTGCCAGGATCAAAAACATAGTGTCTAAAGCAGACTTGGAGATTCTTATCCATGCATTTGTCTCCAGTAGGTTAGACTACTGCAATGGCCTGCTCACAGGTCTGTCCAAACAGGCTGTAAAACAGCTGCAGTACATTCAAAATGCAGCAGCTCGAGTCCTGACTAGAACCAGGAAGTACGACCACATTAGTCCGGTCCTCAGGTCCCTGCACTGGCTTCCTGCGGCTCAGAGAATAGACTTTAAAACAGCTCTGCTTGTGTACAAATCTCTCCATGGCCTCGCACCAAACTATATTAGTGACATGTTAGTACCATATGAACCAGCCCGGACTCTGAGGAGCACAGGGACTGGACTCCTGTTAGTGCCCAGAGTCAGAACTAAACATGGGGAGGCTGCTTTTCAGATTCATGCTGCTAAAATCTGGAACAGTCTTCCTGAAGATGTGAGACAGGCCTCCTCTCTGACAATGTTTAAGACAAGGTTGAAAACAGTTCTGTTTAGCTGTGCATACAACTGAGGGATTTTATATTTTTATCTTTTTTTTAATGTACTGTGATTATTTATGATTTTAATGCTTTCTTGTTCTGTTCAGCACTTTGAATTGCCTTGTGTATGAATTGTGCTATATAAATAAACTTGCCTTGCCTTGCCTTGCCTATGTCGTCCTGTTTGAGTCTGTAAACTATGAACTGAGGGAGGCGTGTGTCCAGCTGCTCCTTAGAGAGTTGACCCCAGGGCTTTAGAGCATGTGCCATGCTGCCGTCTCCTTATTGTCTTATATCTCTCCTGTCTCTTTTCCATATATTAAATAACACTATTTCTATACCAATACCACACATTCACACTTATAATTTTTTACAACAAACAATCCTGCACTCATCACACATCATACTATACACACATATCTTCTAACAACCACACAATATCTCCTACCCCAGCATATAACCCCATCACACACATTTCCCCCCACACACTTACCCCAATCCCCCATCATACCCACAACGTTAACAATCCACCTTTCCAACCCCCTAACAACCATATCATATCGCCATCCGGTTCTCCCTCTCGCTCGTGCCTCCCCCCCCCCACTCCTCCCCCGCCCCCCCCCCCCTCCCCACCCCGCCTCCCCCCCCCCCCCCCCCCCGCCGCCTCCCCCCCGCCCCCTCCCCCCCGCCCCTGGTTATTAAAAAACCCCCCCCCTCCCCCCCCACCCGCCCCCACCAACCCCCCTCGAATGAACTCATGTGCCTCTTGTTTTTGCAGCTGAGAAAGCCTGTGGTGGAGAAACTGCGCAGAGAGAGGATCAACAGCAGCATTGAGCAGCTCAAGTCTCTCCTGTGTACAGAGTTCCTCCAGCAGCAGTCAGACTCCAAGCTGGAGAAAGCAGACATCCTGGAGATGACCGTCACTGTGCTCACACGTCTGCAGCAGCAGCACTTCCTGTCCCAGAGCCTCATGAAGAGCCCTCAGCAGAGACACTGCACTGAGCTGCACAAGCAGAGCAGCTTCTGTAAAGACAAGAGTCCAGTGAACGGCGCCCCCTGGAGGCCCTGGTAGAGTCTGCACCCTGACAGACTCACTATGGACCACACTGGTCTGAGATTCTCCCACTTTGTCTACATCTGAAAAGCTCTGGGACTGATGTTTAAATGAGAAGAAAATGTTGCAATTCCTGTGGAAATGTTTATAAGAAGAGACTGAATTTATTTGAATTCAAGATGTTCTTCAACTGATGAGTTGTGCTTCATCGGAGAAAGTTTCTTCTGTGTTAGCAGAGGTCATGAACTGTCAATCATATATTTCCTGTGGAAACCTCTTGAATAATTGAACTTTGATTTGAAAGGTACTATGTCATACATTTTGTATGGATCTAATGATGTTTCTGTTGATTTCAATAGAATCAATGATGTTGCACATTGTTTTAAATGTGTAATGTCCCTTTAAGAGGGAGACTTCTCCTGTATGTTTTTGTCTTTTTGTGACAAAAGCTCTACATGATCCACTGTGAACTTATTCACATATTGTATTTGTTCCTTTCATTGTGAAGGCTTTATGTAACTGAGTCACATTTTGGTGACAGCTCATGTCAGTGGGACCTGTTGTAATGTCTCTTGTGCTGAACTGGTTGATGAGGTCCACATTGCTCTGGACCTGGATGATCTGTGTCTTTTATAAAGACTGCTGTCCTCTGCTCTGTACGAGCACTGTGCCTTGTACAAACTACAAGCTGTTGTTGTGATGCATCATCACTTCTACTTTACCGCTCTTTAATAAAACTTCTGAATTATAATGTATTGTTTTTGAGTCATTCATTCAAGAACCATTCAATTGTCTTCTTAGTCCATTGTTTTTCACAGAATATGTTTAGTATATGAGCGATGGGGCGACACCAAATATTTAGACTATACATTATGAGACACGTTCATCTTTCTTTCAATACAGAAACGGATTATGGTCAAACCTCACGTTATGTTCTTTAGGACCTTCAAATGTCTGTGCTTTACATAAAGGGTGTGTGTTTATATCTTTGACAGTATATTAACCCAACCAGAAGGTCTACAATCGATGTCAAATGCCGTGCTTCATTCATACAAAACAGTAAAGGCCCAAGTGAAGTGCCTTGTGGGCTCCCATTATTCAAGTCGAGGGATTTGTCTTGAACAATTCTGGCACACTTTTCTCTTCATGCCAAAAGTGACATTTGTGACTACAGTATTGAAATAGCAAAACACCAACCAATCATGAAGCTTTCCCTCCAAGTCCTTGAAGACGTCAAAGTGTGTCTCCATGACGACACTTGGAGCATCTGTTCCTCAGGATCCTCATGGTTCAACGAACACAAAGCACAAAGATTGTGGGAAACGCCAAGACACTTTTACTCAGCACTAAAGACACGTCACATGACGCACATCTGGCACCAGATTTCAATCTCTACGTCACTTTCAGGAGCTGGTTCACCTCACTGCTTGAGGCCATGATGAGGTTGTTCATCACCATTGCTTTAACTGTAATCATTCATATCATAAAAAAAAAAAGACACACAACGCAGATGTTTCCACTGAACCAAGTTATTTATAGCAATTGAATTTTACAGAAGTCCTGTGACTTTTGTGGGTTTCAAAGAGCTAGCTTGCATCAAAATGAGAGTTTTTTCAAATGGTCACCAGATGATTTGCCTAATGCAGCACACTTCTTTTGTTGAAGCAATGAAAAGCAAAGTGTGGGAAACCAGAGAAGACACACTCACAGCCGCAGAGGGACAATAGATGAAGACCTCTGACCTGAACACACGGGAATCATGGGACATTTCCCACCTCTCTCTCCTTCATTTTTACACAACGCCCAAACTTGTGCTGCGAATGAAGACGCAGAATGCGAAACATTGTGTTTGAGTGAGTGACTCTACATGTCATACTTATGGCGTCCTGTTTGAGTCTACAAACTATGAGCTGAGGAGGCGTGTGTCCAGCTGCTCCTTAGAGAGCTGACCCCAGGGCTTTAGAGCATGTTGCCATGCTGCAGCTCTTGTTGTCCGTGCTGCTCTCTGATTGGTCCAGAGTGTGAGAAACTAGTGCTAGACCTAGACCCACACATTCAAATGGAGATGTGTGTGTATAAATACAAGGCAGAAGCAGCACACAGCAGACTCTCCACACAGAGCTCTACATCCACACATGGCTCCTACAGCCACTGCAGCAATGGACCCCTCTCAGGACCTCAGCCTCTGTCACAAGGTAAAGCCTGTTCCATCCTTCTCCTGACGCTTTGATGGTTTCTCTGCTGCTATTGCAGTGGTGTGTGTAGAACAAATGAACTCATGTGCCTCTTGTTTTTGCAGCTGAGAAAGCCTGTGGTGGAGAAACTGCGCAGAGAGAGGATCAACAGCAGCAGCAGCATTGTACAGCAGCTCAACTCCAAGCTCAGACATCCTGGAGATGACCGTGTGCTCACACGTCAGAGTTCCTGTCCCAGAGCCTCATGAAGAGCCCTCAGCAGCAGTCAGACTCCAAGCTGGAGAAAAAGTCAGTGAACATCCCCCCTGGAGAGTCTGCACCCTGACCTCACTGTGGACCACTGCTCTGAGATGCTCCCACTTTATCTACATCTGAAAACCTCTGGACTGATGTTTAAATGAGAAGAAAATTTTGCAATTCCTGTGGAAATGTTTATAAGAAGAGACTGAATTTATTTGAATTCAAGATGTTCTTCAACTGATGAGTTGTGCTTCATCGGAGACAGTTTCTTCTGTGTTAGCAGAGGTCATGAACTGTCAATCATATATTTCCTGTGGAAACCTCTTGAATAATTGAACTTTCATTCGAAAGGTACTATGTTCATACATGTTGTATGAATCTAATGATGTTTCTGTTGATTTCAATAGAATCAATGATGTTGCACATTGTTTTAAATGTGTAATGTCCCTTTAAGAGGGGAGACTTCTCCTGTATGTTTTTGTCTTTTTGTGGCAAAAGCTCTACATGATCCACTGTGAACTTATTTCACATATTGTATTTGTTCCTTTCATGTGAAGGCTTTATGTAACTGAGTCACATTTTGGTGACAGCTCATGTCAGTGGGACCTGTTGTAATGTCTCTTGTGCTGAACTGGTTGATGAGGTCCACATTGCTTGGACCTGAATGATCTGTGTCTTTTATAAATGACTGCTGTCCTCTGCTCTGTACGAGCAATGTGCTTGTACAAACTACAAGCTGTTGTTGTGATGCATCATCACTTCTACTTTACCGCTCTTTAATAAAACTTCTGATTTATAATGTATTGTTTTTGAGTCATTCATTCCAGAACCATTCAATTGTCCTCTTAATCCACTGTTTTTTCACAGAATATGTTTAGTTTATGAGCAATGGGGCGACACAAATATTTAGACTATACATTATGAGACACGTTAATACATTTCTTTCAATACAGAAACGGATTATGGTCAAACCTCACGTTATGTTCTTTAGGACCTTCAAATGTCTGTGCTTTACATAAAGGGTGTGTGTTTATATCTTTGACAGTATATATTAACCCAACCAGAAGGTCTACAATAGATGTCAAATGCCGTGCTTCATTCATACAAAACAGTAAAGGCCCAAGTGAAGTGCCTTGTGGGCTCCCATTATTCAAGTCGAGGGATTTGTCTTGAACAATTCTGGCACACTTTTCTCTTCATGCCAAAAGTGACATTTGTGACTACAGTATTGAAATAGCAAAACACCAACCAATCAGAAGCTTTCCCTCCAAGTCCTTGAAGACGTCAAAGTGTGTCTCCATGACGACACTTGGAGCATCTGTTCCTCAGGATCCTCATGGTTCAACAAACACAAAGCACAAAGATTGTGGGAAACGCCAAGACACTTTTACTCAGCACTAAAGACACGTCACATGACGCACATCTGGCACCAGATTTCAATCTCTACGTCACTTTCAGGAGCTGGTTCACGTCACTGCTTGAGGCCATGATGAGGTTGCTCGTCACCATTGCTTTAACTGTAATCATTCATATCATAAAACAAAAAGACACAACACAGATGTTTCCACTGAACCAAGTTATTTATAGCAATTGAATTTTACAGAAGTTCTGTGACTTTTGTGGGTTTCAAAGAGCTAGCTTGCATCAAAATGAGAGTTTTTTCAAATGGTCACCAGATGATTTGCCTAATGCAGCACACTTCTTTTGTTGAAGCAATGAAAAGCAAAGTGTGGGAAACCAGAGAAGACACACTCACAGCCGCAGAGGGACAATAGATGAAGACCTCTGACCTGAACACACGGGAATCATGGGACATTTCCCACTTCTCTCTCCTTCATTTTTACACAACGCCCAAACTTGTGTTGCGAATGAAGAAGCAGAATGCAAAACATTGTGTTTGAGTGAGTGACTGTACATGTCATACTTATGTCGTCCTGTTTGAGTCTGTAAACTATGAGCTGAGGGAGGCGTGTGTCCAGCTGCTCCTTAGAGAGTTGACCCCAGGGCTTTAGAGCATGTGCCATGCTGCAGCTCTTATTGTCTGTGCTGCTCTCTGATTGGTCCAGAGTGTGAGAAACTAGTGCTAGACCTAGACCCACACATTCAAATGGAGATGTGTGTGTATAAATACAAGGCAGAAGCAGCACACAGCAGACTCTCCACACAGAGCTCTACATCCACACATGGCTCCTACAGCCACTGCAGCAATTGACCCCTCTCAGGACCTCAGCCTCTGTCACAAGGTAAAGCCTGTTCCATCCTTCTCCTGACGCTTTGATGGTTCCTCTGCTGCTGTTGCAGTGGTGTGTGTAGAACAAATGAACTCATGTGCCTCTTGTTTTTGCAGCTGAGAAAGCCTGTGGTGGAGAAACTGCGCAGAGAGAGGATCAACAGCAGCATTGAGAAGCTCAAGTCTCTCCTGTGTACAGAGTTCCTCCAGCAGCAGTCAGACTCCAAGCTGGAGAAAGCAGACATCCTGGAGATGACCGTCACTGTGCTCACACGTCTGCAGCAGCAGCACTTCCTGTCCCAGAGCCTCATGAAGAGCCCTCAGCAGAGACACTGCACTGAGCTGCACAAGCAGAGCAGCTTCTGTAAAGACAAGAGTCCAGTGAACGGCGCCCCCTGGAGGCCCTGGTAGAGTCTGCACCCTGACAGACTCACTATGGACCACACTGGTCTGAGATTCTCCCACTTTGTCTACATCTGAAAAGCTCTGGGACTGATGTTTAAATGAGAAGAAAATGTTGCAATTCCTGTGGAAATGTTTATAAGAAGAGACTGAATTTATTAGAATTCAAGATGTTCTTCAACTGATAAGTTGTGCTTCATCGGAGAAAGTTTCTTCTGTGTTAGCAGAGGTCATGAACTGTCAATCATATATTTCCTGTGGAAACCTCTTGAATAATTGAACTTTGATTTGAAAGGTACTATGTCATACATTTTGTATGGATCTAATGATGTTTCTGTTGATTTCAATAGAATCAATGATGTTGCACATTGTTTTAAATGTGTAATGTCCCTTTAAGAGGGAGACTTCTCCTGTATGTTTTTGTCTTTTTGTGGCAAAAGCTCTACATGATCCACTGTGAACTTATTCACATATTGTATTTGTTCCTTTCATTGTGAAGGCTTTATGTAACTGAGTCACATTTTGGTGACAGCTCATGTCAGTGGGACCTGTTGTAATGTCTCTTGTGCTGAACTGGTTGATGAGGTCCACATTGCTCTGGACCTGGATGATCTGTGTCTTTTATAAAGACTGCTGTCCTCTGCTCTGTACGAGCACTGTGCCTTGTACAAACTACAAGCTGTTGTTGTGATGCATCATCACTTCTACTTTACCGCTCTTTAATAAAACTTCTGAATTATAATGTATTGTTTTTGAGTCATTCATTCAAGAACCATTCAATTGTCCTCTTAGTCCACTGTTTTTCACAGAATATGTTTAGTATATGAGCGATGGGGCGACACCAAATATTTAGACTATACATTATGAGACACGTTCATCTTTCTTTCAATACAGAAACGGATTATGGTCAAACCTCACGTTATGTTCTTTAGGACCTTCAAATGTCTGTGCTTTACATAAAGGGTGTGTGTTTATATCTTTGACAGTATATTAACCCAACCAGAAGGTCTACAATAGATGTCAAATGCCGTGCTTCATTCATACAAAACAGTAAAGGCCCAAGTGAAGTGCCTTGTGGGCTCCCATTATTCAAGTCGAGGGATTTGTCTTGAACAATTCTGGCACACTTTTCTCTTCATGCCAAAAGTGACATTTGTAAGTAAGTAAGTAAGTAATCTTTTATTTATATACCGCCTTTTCACTGCAAAATCTGAGTCTCAAAGCGGTTTACAATTGTTAATTTTTGGGCATTTGTCTCTCACTCCACACAGAGATGGGAGCGGGGCCAGTACAGGAGGCACATGCCAGACCTATTGTACATGTTTTTAGTGGTAGGGGAAACCGGAGTACCCGGAGGAAACCTACGCAGACACGGGGAGAACATGCAAACTCCACTCAGAAAGGCCCTGGCCCGATCGGGATTCGAACCCAGGACCTTTTTGCTGAGAGGCGAGAGTGCTATCCACTCAGCCACCGTGCCGCCCAAATACTGTAGTCATTTGTGACTACAGTATGGAAATAGCAAAACACCAACCAATCAGAAGCTTTCCCTCCAAGTCCTTGAAGACGTCAAAGTGTGTCTCCATGACGACACTTGGAGCATCTGTTCCTCAGGATCCTCATGGTTCAACGAACACAAAGCACAAAGATTGTGGGAAACGCCAAGACACTTTTACTCAGCACTAAAGACACGTCACATGACGCACATCTGGCACCAGATTTCAATCTCTACGTCACTTTCAGGAGCTGGTTCACGTCACTGCTTGAGGCCATGATGAGGTTGCTCGTCACCATTGCTTTAACTGTAATCATTCATATCATAAAACAAAAAGACACAACGCAGATGTTTCCACTAAACCAAGTTATTTATAGCAATTGAATTTTACAGAAGTTCTGTGACTTTTGTGGGTGTGAGATTTCATAACACTTTGAAGCAACTTTTGTTAAAGTTAAACTCATCATTCTATCAATGTGCAGAAGCCAGTACTTTTCCCTTGTTTTGTCTATCTGAAGGCCAAGCTACAAGCACACCGTGGCAGCTGCTGATTGGAGGTCTCCATGCCTCCGCTCTGTATAATACACTTGCATTCTCTTGTATCTGTGATCGTGTGCTTTGTTCGTACTGTCTCTACCATCGACAATAAAACATGTCTTCTGTCTGAATTTAAGACGCGATCCCAGACTATGTCATCTTCTTCAGGTGGTGGAAGAATGCGGGCCTTGTCTGTAACATCTACAGAACAGAAGACCTTTTTTTTTTTTACACAAAAATTTGTTTTTTTTTTTCAAGCCAAAACTGAAAAACCTCAAGAGAATGCATCTGGACCAGCACACTTGGACAATCTGCACAGCCCCTGATTCCAGTCAGGCTGTGAG